TTTTAATAATATATTTTAATAATTTTTTTTTTTTTGATCAAGTTACCAAGAGGTTGAGAAACCCAACCCAGGGGAAAGGGAAGAATGATGACCTCGAACTTGAAGCATATGAGTACTCTTATGGGGGAACTACCGATTGCTCTATGCAGGAGTTTTCATATTTTAATAATTTTAATGTTTAGACTACAACATTATTGTATATAATAATCGAGACTAAATAATATTGACATTTATTTTTCAAATCTCGCGTAACAGTTTCTCAAACAATTAAAGCAATAGGGTAAAGCAGTTGCAGGAATCAAATAAGATGAAAGTAAATGTTTCAGGACGGATAAAATTTCACCAGCTTCAATGAAAAGGGAACAGAGGAGACAGGGCTCTGAGCTGCGCAGTTCACCTTACATTATATATAAAATAGCAATAGGTTTGATTGATTCCTTGAGTGAAGGACCCCTACACCCTTTCCACGCAAAGATTGCCTCTTGAATGCCATCACCACCCATTTCTTCTTTTCGTTAATGCCAAGTCCATGTGTTCCATTTCCATGGAACAATGAGCGGATCGTCCAAAACTCCAACACACCATCAAACTTCACATGCTGTCCAAATTTCAGACATCATGCATCAGTCAAGAATCATTCCCAATACCTCAAAAATATCCATAGCGTCCGTGCATTCCACGCTACTTCCCAATTCTCCATTTGCTTAACACAACACCTCTTATTTCCCTTCATAATATCTTTGCTTTCCAACGGCCACCAGAAAATGTGTTGAAACGCTTTCCAATCCTATTGACCCAACAAATACTAAATTTTTTTTAAAAAAATATATGGAAAGAAAGGAGTACAATTATAGTCTTCCTAATCAGTTAAACCTAAAAACCTACCGCACCCACCGGAAAAAATAAAAATAAAAATAGAAACAATTTACAGACTTCAATCTAATCTAATCTAATTTAATTTAATTAATAACTTGACTATTTAAACCGGGTCGGAGCAACCCGGTTCAACCCTTCCTAGACTACTTTCCTATTTTCCCCCCTCTTTTTTTTTTTTTTTTTTTGTCTAAATTAAATTCTAGTTTTATCCAAAACTTGGCACGGCGGGAGGAGGTAAGGCGGGCTCCGGCATAACCATCTCCTTTTTGCGCCGCATTTCTAGAACCTTCCGGTGATGGTTGGAGTGCAATTCGCTGGAGAATGTGGGGCTACAAGCGGGTCTATACTCGGGTAAAAGACGACCCGATTTGAAACGGACCCCGCACGCGTTACACAAGGTCTTTGCCCCGAGCGGACCAGCTCTCCACTGAGGGGTCTTCGTGACGCCGCAATGACTGCACCTGCGTGGGGGCTGAGTCGCATTACCACCTGCTGAGTCAGTTACATGTTTCTTCTTTTGTTTTTTAACAGGTGGTGGTTTCTCAGAGAAGACTGGTTCAACCGGTTCAAACGGAGACCCGGAACCTGGAATTGACTTTGCCAAGATAAGGCACGAACTGGAAGGGCTACAGGAAGCCGAAGACGACGATGAACTTGAAGAGGATTCCGTCCCTGGAGAGGACTTAGCAAGAGACCCGACCCAGCCGCCGGTTCCTTTGCGCTTGCTTCTGGCTTTGGCCGGAACCGGAGTTTTAAAGCTTGTGGCCGGGTTTTCGGGTTCGGGTTGGCCTTCGTGGCTGGAATTTGGTTTTGGTGGAATAATTCCGGCGGGAAACGCTGCAGAGTATTCCGAGTTGGAATCCTCCACGAAATGAGACAGCCATTCGAGGTCTGCCACAAAATCCGCCTGTAAATTTAGCACCTTTTTAGCATTTCAACCATGAAAACGGAGAAACCCAAACAGAGAACAAGAAAAAAAGTTAACTTTTTTTGTTCGGCTAAGAGGAAACGGAGGGAAAATTACCGGAACAGAGGGTTCGCTGGTGGGCAAGGACCCAAACTCCAAACTGGTGCCTTCGTTCGAAGAATGGTCTTCTGGGTCTTGCTTTTTTGGGGAAAAAGAAAGAGAAGAAGTCGGCACCTTATCTTCTTCCTCTTCTTCAGGTTCTTGTTCAAATAAGCCCTCCTCGTTAGACAAGTCAAGGAAGTCCTCAACCAAAAAGTCATCGCTTGAAATCCCATTCTGCCCATATACCGCACAAAAATCATCAGAAGTCGCCTGAGGGCTCGCCTTAGGCGGCATCTCCGTCCTCCAATTAGACTTCAAGGCCGCTTCAAAGCGTACCATTTCCTACATAACCAAAGAAAAGGAATTTAAAATTCAAAAGACCCAAGTTTTTTTTTTGAAAAAAAACCCCAAAATACAAACCAAAACATTTTCATCTCCCCATGTTCAACAACCCTTAAAAAACAAAGCAAAAATTGAATACCTGAACAGAGGAAGATAAGCGTGAGAGGATGAGTGGAGGCAGAGGAATGGAGGCGAAAGAAGGGAATTGAAAGTAAAAGGAGTGGTTAGTTTGGTAAAGCATTGAATAAGGCCTGAAATTGTCCGTGCCGTTTTTCTTCCCTGTTTATTTATCTCCCTTTTTTCCTTTACTCCTTTAATCTTTTTTTTTTTTAACCCTTCTCTCTTGGATGGTAAGCGGTATATACAGGGCAGTTTGGGTATTTAATTTTGTACGTGTTAATTTATATACACTCCCCCCTATTAAATTTACCAGCATGCCCGTACACCACTGACTTTTCACCGTTTTCTTTTATTTAAAAAAAATGTTATAATAAAGACTACAATTATAATTATTAAATGATGATAGATTTTTTTGTATTGAGACCCTCTTGTTATATATAATTTATGTTTTATAATTAAATGTATTTTGAAATTTATAAATGTAATATAAAATTTTAAAATATAATCCGTGCAATGTACGGACAA